TGAGGAGGCCATGGCAGTGAAACTCAGCTGCCTTCTCCCATGGCCTCTCTATCTCTGGCCCTCCAGCTACATACAGCTGACCACCACTGGCTGGAGAATGACCCCTTGCCACCAGATGGCAGATGCAAAATATGCCCCTGGACTCATTTACACCCATTCAGTCAGCAAACCTCCACTGACACTTAGGCCAAAAATGAAACAATTTCCTGAGAAAACATATTAATCTGGAATTTTCTCTTTCCCTCTAAAGCAAGAATCCTTACATTTCCGTGCCATGGGCCACAATTGCAATCTAGGGATGGCTACAGCCTCCTTGTCCAAACAATGTTTTAAATGCATAAAATAAAATACATAAAATTATAAAAGAAACCAATTACCAAAAGAAAGTTATCACAATATTTTCTGAATATGATGTACTAAAATAGGCTTCTTTATGCATATACTAAATAACAAGAACCAGTAGAGGCTCTAATAACTACCAGAATACTAAAAGTATGGTCGGGACCAAGCGCCTTCTCAAATCCCCCGGGGGAAAAGGAAGATTTGGTTCAGCGTGCGCACCCTGATACTCTGCCTTTCCGACCAGCCCCCACGTGATGCCGACGTTCTGCTCCGGGCACCACGCGCGGCAGAGAAAAGGCTCCGACGCTTCCCTGAGTGGAGATGGCAGTCAGAAGCCACACAGGTGGCATTTCCTGACCCTGGACGTCCCCAGGAATGGCTTGGGGGCTTCCGGCTTCATCCTACAGGGGCATGCTTTCTTCTTCCATGTGTTTCAGTGTCTGGTGACAGAAAGCAACCTTGGAGATTCTGAGCTGCGGGACGCCCGCGGTTCCCGAAAGCTACGGAGTAGCAGCTACTGGTCAGCTGAGTCGGCAAGTGCCGGCGCTCAGAATGTAGTCACAGGGACGCATGCCCATGCACAGAGACCAGAAATGACTCACGAGTCACAGAAATGACTCGCCAAGACTTAAAGTTGAAGTGGGAGCCAGCGGGTGGTGTAGTGGTTAAGTGCGCGCACGCGCCACTTCACGGCCCTGAGTTCGCAGGGTCGGATCCTGGGCGTGGACATCCGCACCATTCATCAAGCCATGGTGTGGCTTTGTCCCATATAAAGTAGAGGAAGATGAGCACGGATGTTAGCCCAGGGCCAATCTTCCTCAGCAAAAAGAGGATTGGCAACTGATGTTAGCTCAGGGCCAATCTTCCTCACCAAAAAAAAAGAAGTTGAAGTGATCATGCAAAAGGAAAAAAGTAACTAAAGACTCTGAAATTATTGACATGTGTCCGTTCACCATTTTCCTGACGGCAAAGAAAATATATATAAATAAAAATAATATGTAATAAAAGTATACATAATACATATATTGTATATAATATATATGTAAAATATATCTCTTCTCTAAACTAGGTTCTATTCTGTAAGCAAATTCAGCTGTTACAAAACTCCAGTGCTCCTGTACTTGAGATATATTTAATATATAGAAAAAATATTAACACAGCAGAAAAAAGTCCAAGTTAACAAAGAGTGTCATTGTTATTAGCAGTACAATAGCCAGAAGTAAGCAAAACATCAAGGATATTAAACTAATTTTCTTTGTCCCATCCAGAGTGGTTTTCATGATTTTTTTTTAATAAGAAAAAAGAAATCTGGAGACCTGAGGCATTGGGCACATTTCTTCTTCAGCTTCCTTGGAGCTCATGGATCCCTTTCCCACCACCTCTCTGCATCCAGCATCCTCAGCTAAACTTTATTCAAAAGCTAGGTTGTGGGGCCGCCCCCTGGCATAGTGGTTAAGTGCACGCGCTCCGCTGCTGGCGGCCCGGTCCAGATCCTGGGTGCCACTGATGCACCGCTCGTCAGGCCATGCTGTGGCAGCGTCCCACATAAAGTGGAGGAAGATGGGCATGGATATTAGCTCAGGGCCAGTCTTTTTCAGCAAAAAGAGGAGGATTGGCATGGATGTTAGCTCAGGGCTGATCTTTCTCACAAAAAAAAAAAAACAAAAAACAAAGCTAGGTTGGAGCTCCCAACAACCTCACACCTCGGGAATCTGGTTCTTCAGAAGGTGTAGCAGAAATTGCAAGTTTCAACCCAGCTACAAAGGCTGCTGGGCTGCTCCCAGGGTGCCCTCTGCTGGCCACACAGGGAAGCATAAGTCTTTCCACCCAGGTAAAAAGAAAAGGTCATTTAAGAAAAAACCAAGAAAGGTATTTGGATTAGCAAAAAAAAAAAAAAACTTAAATAAGAACCCCCATTCCCAGGCATCCTGGCTATGAAAACAAAAGACTGACCACATTAAGACATTAGAGAAAAACAAAAGCATCTTCCTTTAAAGATTTGAAGAATAAAAATTAGAAAAAAAAATGGAAGAAAGCAAAAGCTTGTTTTTATATGTTTTGTTTTCTCACTGAAAAAAATGAATTGATGATTATATTCTTCAGATCTTAGCAGTTTTGGTCTCTTGGCTTCAGAAATGATGTTGATGATGCAAGAGAAGGTGGTTACACATCTTGGGAGCCCTAGGTCACTCTCTAGAAGGCTTTTAAAACTAAACTGAAACAATAAAAAACTGCAACTCAACAACAAAAAGACAAACAATCCAATTCAAAAATGGGCAAAGAATCCAAATAGACATTTCTCCAAAGAAGATATACAAACGGCCAATAAGCACATGAAAAGATGCTCAACATCACTAATCAATAGTGAGATGCAAATCAAAACCACGAGTTATCAACTGGCAGCCGTTAGGATGGCTACCGCAAAAAAAAGAAAAAACAGAACGTAAGTGTTGGACACGATGTGGACAAATGGGAACCGTTGCGCACAGCTGGTGGGAATGTAAAGCGACGCAGCCACTGTGGAGAACAGTGAAGCCTAAACAATGGGGTTTGGAAAGCTTCCGGGTTGGTGAACACATTCACGTGTGGGGACGGGGGGGTGCACGTAGAGAGAGCGTGGAAGCTCCAAACCATTTCCCACGTGTCTGGTTCTAATCGTCTCTTCACTAAGTTGTACCCTTTATAATAGGCTGGTAATAGAAAGTAAAGCACTACCCTGAGTTCTGTGAGCCATTCTAGAAAATTATTTAACTCGAGGGTGAGGAAATCCGATTTACGGCCTGTTGGTCAGAAGCACCAGTGACCACCTGGGACTTGGGATTGGCATCTGAAGTGGGGGCCGTCTTGGGGGACTGTGCCCTCCATCTGTGGGATCTGTGCTAACTCCAGGCAGTCAGTATCAGAATTCACAATTGTAAGACACCCAGGTGGTGTCCAGCAAGTTGGAGAATTGCTTAATGAGAGGGAAAGACCTCACACATTTGGTGTCAGAGGTGTTCTGTGTGTACAGAAAATAAGCTTTCTTTTAATATCCAAAAGAATTGAAAGCAGGGTCCCCAAGACATGTTTGTACACCCACGTGTCCACAGCAGCACTACTCACAACAGCTGAGAAGTGAGGCAACCCCAGTGTCCATTGACAGGTGAATGGATACACAAAATGTGGTATATCCGTGTGATGGACTATTATTCAGCCTTAAAAAGAAAGGAAATTCTGACACACGCTACAAAATGAATCAACCTTGAGGACGTTATTCTAAGTGAAATAAGCCAGTCACAGAAAAACAAATACAGTGTGATTCTACTTACAGGCGGCACCTAGAGTGCTCCAATTCAGAGACAGAAAGTAGAATGATGGCTGCCAGGGGCTGGGGGAGTGGGGAATGGGTACACAGTTTCAGTTTCACAAGATGAAAAAGTTCTGGAGATTGGTTGCTCAACAGTGTGAATTTACTTAACACTACTGAACTGTACACTTAGAAATGGTTAAAATGGTATATTAATTAAAAATAAAAAATTTTTTTAAGTAAATTGAAATAACACATCAACACAATCATTCCTTCATTTGCTGCCCTGCCCCACATCTGGCTCAGCTTCTAGAAACTTAGAAAGTCAGAGCTGGCCAGAACATGGAGATCTAGTTCAATTTTACAGATTAAAATAATGGAGGCCACAATAGCAAGGTGACCTGTGAAGGTCTCGGTGGGTTAGCAGTGGAGACAGGACCAGAAGGAAGAGCATCTGCCTCCCAGGCTAGGGCCCTACCTACCCTGCACCACAGCCCAGATGGACACAGGCCATTTCTTGATGGAGATAACAATAACAGTAATAACAACTCTCATCCATTCAGGGCTCCTTCCAGCGTTTATGGGAGGTCAGGCCTAGGAGGAAATGTGCCTTTGGTTAAACTCCACGACTCTGAATTTCAAAGCCCCCTGAAAAACCCTGGGGTAGGGTGGGGAGATGAGGAAAGAAATATGACCTACTTACATGTTTAGAGGGCTACCGAGCATCCTTTTTTCCACTGAGTTATTTTGTAATTCTTCCCAGCATGAGCCTTAAGAGGAATTGTACCCTTCAAGGCAGAGTGAATGATGGACTTAACTTCTGCCTGTCTACAATAATATCACAGCATGAAGCACGCAAATTATTTTTTATTTTACTTTGATGATTGGGAAAAGATACCAACATGTAAGATCGAATCAAAGCTAACAAAGAACTGTACTGGCAGTTAATCGGCTGATTTTATTAAAATAAAGACATGTCTGTTTAAACGGAACAAATGTTCTCACTGGCACGTTGCTTTGACTGGGAGCTTTGAAACTAAGGCCGAGGTGCTGAGAAGAAAATAGTCGCCGTCACGGCATCGACCTGCCACCTCCTCCTAAGCACCTGCAGCACCAGCAGCACCGACTGGGGACAGCGGCCTCCTGGGCAGCGCTCCACCTGCGCACGACCCTCGGAAGGCTTATTCTGAGAAGATGCACTTGCGGGTGGCCAGGCTTCGCCGACACCTTTCTCAGGGGCATGATGGCTCACTTGCGGCGGCCGGTGAGGTAGACTCTCCCTGCGTTTTGCAGACACCCTTGTTCATGCTTTAACCAGGGGGGGCCCAGGACCCAAACACCAGGCTTCACATGCCTGCATCTGGGATGCCCCCAGGCCCCAGTCTGCCAGTCAATCTGCAGTTCTGCCCCAGATTCTAGCCCTTCAAATCCTGAGGGATGTTTTCTTCGTCCACAGGTTGTTTTGGTTTTAACTGGCTGCTTAGAGTTAGAAAGGAATATCTCAAGCCCCCAGCCATGCTGAAAGGAAAACAAGAGTGAAAATAAGTCAATCCTGTAGCTGGGACGGCCAGCAGCTGCTGACATCTTTATAAATACAGTCAGCTTAACTGGAAATTATGGAGCCTCCTGTTTTTCTCCTCAAGTTTGTATGTTACTTGATGAGAATTATCCCTCTTATTTACAAATCTTTTGGGGTAGAAAAAGAGTAGATCAAATCTAACATGGAAGCTTGAAGAGAAAGTCAGCACCTGGTTATTATTGAATAAACTATACACTATTGTACTGAAATAGCATCCCATGTCTGAGACCCCAACATGCCTTTCAGAAGGCTCTTAGTCACTCTTCCCACATCCTGAGTGGGTGCCACTCTGAGGGGCACAGGTTTAGTGAAGCCCACTTCACAAGAGGAGGACACAGGAATTCAATTCAGCTCTTGGCCCCTTGAATTTTCATGACACACATCCCATGACCCACAGGAGGGAGTGTGTCATGAAAATAGATGAACTGAGTGATTTAAGTAAAATTATTAAAAATTATAACATCAAAACACCTGTTCTGTCCCTTATAACATTAATCAGACTTTCTAAAATACATATTTTACTAAAATGAGTTCATTTAAAAATCCCACTTACCAAATATTTAAGCCTACAAAGTTTAACACAGAGAAAATGTAGTCTCCACCAACTAATCCCAATGTAGGCAATGGATACATTCTGCGAAAAGAGAGAGGACTCATCATCTTAAAAACAAAGGACTTAGGGGAAAATACATATATATGGTGAAATCCAAAACTAAATGTTTTAGTTACTTTGCACAGACTTGTACATAGTAGGTGTTCACGGAATGTTGAATGGATGAATAAAAAACCATTATTATGGCTTTATTAAAAAAAATTAAGTCAACTGTGGCACGATGGCCACAGAAAACCGCGTCAGTCATGCCCCTTCCAGTTCATGCACAGGAAGAAGGTGTAAGAGCTGGGTTGTGATCAGCTTTCCAGATCCCATCTCTTGACCATCATTGGGTGGTGAATTTTAATCATATAGATGCCAAACTTGAACAGATTAGAGACATCTCATAAATTCCATGCAGCTCCCTGTGCAGCGTGTTCTAGGGGCCTCTGGGAGCCGACAGACGAGTCCACTGTGGATGCAGGGAGTGCTCCTCCCTCACTCTAGGAGTCACATGAGGAGAAAAACAGAGCAGCTGCAGGTCAGAATTCAGAACGTCCCCACCTCCTAGTCATGCATGTGTGTATCCAAATGCACATACACACACACATTACATACCCACACAGCAGCCCATGAGTTTACTACCTTATAAGTGAGCACATATCTAGACTGAAAACAACTCTTCACAAAGATTCCCTTTCTTAGTTAGCAGGTTCTCCCAGAAAACCAAATTATAGATCAGAAGGCATCTTGGTGAGCGCAGAAACTTGGAAATTTTGTCAGCTCTTTTACTTCCTCTTCCCAGACCATCCGCTCTCCCACCCCCTATCTAAAAGTCAGAATTTGTCTCTCCTGTCTAAATTAGCAAGTCCTCCTTCTGTTTTACGGATTAGGAAATGAGAAGACATAAGAAGGGATCACCCAGGCACAGCTGAAAATGTCACAAGCCTCCGTTCTCACTCTACCACTGATAGCAACAATGAACTCACACTCAGCCTGGATCGTAAGGCCGGGGCTCACGATCACTTCGGCAGTCCGGCTGTGCATTCCAAGGCTCCTCCACTCGCCTTGACGGCACCCCCGCCGCCGCCGTCGAGCGGAGCGGTAGCATCTGCACAGGGCCGCGGGCGCATCAGCAGAAACCTGCGCGGAGCAAGCAGACGCGCGAGCGCGCCTTTCTGTGCTGGGCCTTCACCACAGACTAGGGACCCGCGCACAAGCACCTCACACACACTCCAAAGAAGAACATACCAGAAAGATTTAACAACCTACATCTTAAAACGTCTCCTTTTTAACTCCGACTTTTTACAGGAAAATGGTCCAGTTGTGCATTAGGCAAACTTTCTACCTTACATGACCTTTTCATTTTGTCTGCATTTCCCGTTAGTGTTTCTACAAAAAGGTGATAAGGACAATGAGATTTTTTTTAATGACCTGAAATCTTTCATTTAACAGCTGTTAGGACAGTGGATTTTAATGCTCTCTGTGCATTGGAATCACCTGGTGCACTTTTAACACATAACAATGCCCGGCAGAGGGTCTCCTTTAGTGTGAGGTGGGGCCCCGGCAGTGTGCATTATCAAAGCTCCACGGATGACTCCAATGTGAGCCAGCACTGAGAACCACTGCTGTCAGAAGGGAAAATCAGCCGTGCAATTGCTGGCTTTGGACACAGGAGATTAAAATTAATGGATTCCAGATGTCAATAATACTCCTGTACCCTCTTACCAAGTTAATTCAAGAGGCATTCAACATTGACCAGTAAGTATTGACACTTACTTGTCAATAAAATGGCTACAAAGTTGTAACCAAGCAGCAGACAAGAAAATACATATACACAGGAAAGAACGTAGAATCCAATCAGAGGTAAGGAAATGAGTTCATTTCAGTCTAGTGAAGAAAATTAGCTGCAACCTAAGTGGGGTGAAAATCCATCCACCTAGACCAAGTGAGTAAATGTTCAAAGAGTTTACAATCAAACTGAGAATGAAACTCGAAAGAGAGAGAGCATAAGGTGTGTGGGTGTGAAAGTTAAATCCCAGTCAGAAGGCACAAGCACGGCCCCCCCACTGACAGTGCAGAAAGAACTAGACTCCGAGAAGGGGCTCAGTCCGCACACCCAGTTGTGCGCAGACAAATCCTGCAGGAATTGAGCACCCAGTTCCAGGTCCAGGCCCCAATCCCTCATTGTTACTAACAGAATCCGGATCACAAACCTTCCACACAGTAACTGGCTTTTGGCCTGAGTATGTTTATTACAGGATGGTAGAGGAAGAAAAATTAGAGATAAGGGACATCAGGCTTTTACGCTAATTGAGGAATAAACTCAATTACAAACTTAAATTTTGTAATCTTCAGAACAATGTGTGTCTTTGTTATCAAGGTAGTTAAAAACTGTCTGGAAGTTAGAGAACCTAACATGTTGGCTTTTGTGGGGGTTTTTTTTGTGTGTGAGGAGGATTAGCCCTGAGCTAACATCTGTTGCCAATCCTCCTCTTTTTGCTGAGGAAGACCGGCCCTGAGCTAACATCCATGCCCATCTTCTTCTATTTTATATAGGACGCTGCCACAGCATGGCTTGACAAGCAGTGTGTCAGTCTGCGCCCGGGATCCGAACCTACGAACCCCGGGCCACTGAAGCAGTGTGCGAGGACTTAACCACTACACCACCGGGCCATGAATATGAAATGTGCAATTGATATGAGACTTGCAATCTTCTTCATTTGAAAGACGTAAGAGACTCTGAATAAGCCTGTACACAGTATTTGAATGTTTAGAAGAAACTGATTTACCACATTTCCAAGTTTGGTTTATTAGATTTCAAAGAGCTGCTTAAGTGTGTAAAGCAACCTGGCTCATTAGCTCTGCTAGGGCCTCATTAGGGCTCGGAATTGCTGGAGAAAAATCTGATAAATCACATTTGTAAATGTAATGTAAAATGTTTAAAATTTTTCTAATTCAGTAAATTGTAAATGAGACCAATTTACAGTAAATTGTTTAGGAGATTTTAATCAGCTAAACTTGAGTTAATAAACTATTAATCAAATGATGAAAGTAAACGTTATTATGCTTATACAAAAATTACTGGCTTCATAAATAGAGTGACAGTATTTATAAATTGAACTGAAATCCTTGAGAAAATCTAAGTTTTTTTAATGGTTACAATTTTAATAAATTCAACATTAATTTAGAACCCTGGGAACTATAAATGATCCTATTCATGCATAAAATAAAAAGATTAAAAAACTCAACCTGATGTTACAAGTGCCTGCTCTCCTCGGCCTGGCAGTAAGAGTACACTACACAGCCCACAGTGTCTGCCCTGGGGGAGACCCCAGTCTGATAGGATAAGAGGGATGACAGCACAGGAGAGGGGCCCTGCCCAATTTGGGGGACACAGAACAGCTTCCTGCAGGCTTCCTAAACTGGAGTGCAGCCTTCAACCCAGGACAATCATGGATGTTCTTTATTTTTAATTTTCTTCTAAAATTCCTACTCCAGGGTTCCAATCATGCAACGTTTTCTCCATCCTACGTTTTAGTGAAACCAGCTTGACCTGCATTCATAATTAGCAGACAGCTTGGATCTAAGATCCCAGTATCCATCTACCATGAGTGTGGGCGACCAGGATGCTCCCTCACCGGCTGGCCTGAGGAGGGGAGGAGCGGCCTCTACCATCCTGGGGAGTCTGAACCAGCAGCGGTCCTCCTTAGCAACAGACGGCGTCCGGTACAGGAACGGCCCCTTTCTGCGCAGATAGGCTGCACTTCTCAGTACAACCACTAGGTGTCCCCAGAGAGAGGGAAGGTAAAACCACTAGGATCCAGTAGGGTATTAAAATTTTTTTCTAAGAAACGTAATCTATTTCTACATGCAAATAAGTACCTTTACAGTCCTTTGGCAAAGACTAACGTTCTGAACTACAAGAGCCTCCATTAACTCAGTACAAAGGAAACCACACTACTTTTAACACCAAAAATGTCAACCTCCACATGACAGAAGTTTTGATTTTAGCATCTGTGGGTTAATAAAATGTGAAGATATTTAAAAGCATTGCTGAATTCTCAGTAGCTTTTCGCCACTCTGTATTTTTTAAATCATATATCATCTGTGTATGTTTGAAAAATAACAGCACATATGTGCAGTACACATTTACTCAGACGACAGATGTCCTGCATGTTTTGGCTCCCAGGGCCCCAGGGATGGAGATGCCCGTGTGGAAACCCTGAACCAGAACCCTGCTCAGAGGTCTCTTCCTGTTTCTGAAAATGACACAAAAAATAACTGATTTGCCCAAGGTTGTGTGGCACACTTGTGGCAGTCACAAACAGAACTTAGAGGACCTTGTATACAAGTGTTGCTGGTTACCATTCCATGCACAAGCATATACAGAAAATAAACACAAATATTCAGATAATTAAAGGCCACTTTTATACTCCTTCCACCAACCACAATGGTACCCAAGCACATTACTCTCTTATAATTCCAGATTTCAAAGAATTTCAAGTAATCTCATCATGCCCATCTCTGGCAAGAACTCACTCCAACCCAAGGCCTCAGTGGTGTGACAGGATGCCAAAGTCATAGGACAAACATGGCCCATGTTCCTAGAGCATCAATGTTGCACTAAGATTTCTTTAGTCTGTAAATGACAGGAATATTTGCAGACAGGCCTCTGGGCCCCGGCAATTTGCAGAATCCTGTTTTCTCTTTTATGGTACATCTCGGTAGTGTAATTCAAACAATAGAACATTTTTCATCCTGCGAGTAGGGAAAATTTGATAAAGTTTTCGGGAAAAAAACTTTCGTGTTTTTATTAAGGAATATATTACCGCTTCAGTGGGATCAAAGGGCCTGCTACTGGGGCTGAAACACATTGTGGTAATTGCCCCAGGGCCCGGGGGCTGGTTCCAGCTGCTGGTGAGAATGCACTGCAACCTGTCATGTCTCAGAAGATTAAAAACACCTGCAGAGCTTTTTAACCTCTAGCTGTCCATTTAAATGCCAGTCCACATTTTACCTTTGCCTGCATTAAGTCATCTTAGCTCCCACAATCCAGGTTAGCTTCCTGACTTAACGTCACTCCATCATATGCTTTGTTTACAAACTCCTGATTACAAATAGCATTTCTTAAAGCTGAGTCCTTCATTATAACTCAAAGGAAAATTAAAAGTCTTCCCTTTTCACCATTCCATTGGCTTAACATACCTTTTTTTAATGTTATAATTTTTAAATTATATTTTCAACTTGGGATAGAGGTTTGGTGGCTGGAAAAAGCAGGTTTGAAATGCAAACTTGAAAGAGTGAAAACAAGCTAGAAACTGAGCGTGAGCGTCCCCTGGAGTGAAGGGCTGGGACGCAAGAGTGTCAGCCCCACAGACCTTCCTCAGGGACCAGAGAGAAGCGACAGCCCAAGCCCAGCGCCAGCTGTCCCGAAAACCAAGGATGTGCTCAGAAGCTGACAACGGCTCCTCTTAATTTTAAGAAGCCAATGACCCCATCCTTTGAGGGAGAAACGTGAGAAAGCAGGATTCTGAAAAATTTACCATGCCAAAATTGGAGCTTCCTTCCAGAGCAGTTTCAGAATCAAAACTTGAACTTTGAAGGTAACATATACGTAATAGAAGACAAACTGACAAAGCCATGGGCTATAGGTAGAACCAAATCTGTCTGGGGTGAGAAGACGACAGCCAAATGGAACAGGCTGACCTGGAGACAGAGAAACACTCATAGCAACACCAACAACAGTTCACACTCACTGAGCGTTTCTGTGTGCCCAGCAGTGCGCTGTGCTCTTCACTATTACCTCCCTCACCCACATAACCCCACCCCACCAATCAGATATGTGAGCTCGTTGTTCCCATTTTAAAGATAAGGAAATGGGGCTCAGAGTGGTTAAACAACTTATCCAAGGACCAGAGCTAATAAGTGGCAGAGCCAGGATTCAAACCCAGGCAGTCTGATTCCAGAGTTTAGGCACTTAACTGTCGGAATGACGCCACAATGTTAATGTCCTCAAAAGACCCACTTAGAAAACAGAGACCTACCTAGTCTTCATTCTTAAAGTTGAACGAAACCTAAAATGCTAATGATTTCATCATTTTTACTGATATATTTATAATTACTATTCCTTTATGTCATTTTTATTTGCGAAGTGACTACTGATAAAACAATATATTAAGAACTTTTATCAACAGAGTGTTTGTTTTCTAAGAAGCACATTATTAAACAGAAAAACAAATGTATGGGGTTGTACACAGACGGGGTCAAGCCTTGGACAGGCAAGCCCAAGAGAGTGATAGCTCACACCCAGGTGCCACTGCCACATCGCTCACTGAGGACAGTGGATGACAGAGGGTTTGCTGCTTGATTCCCCTCATGGAGTGGTTAAATGGCAAAGTGCAAGTGAAAAAAACAAAAGAAAACAAAACAAGTATCTCATCAAGTTTATAATTAAACGAGAAAAGACTCTGAAACTTGGCTCTGCTGTTCACAGGTGAATATGGGCTTAGGCAGGGAAAGGTGCTGGTCTGACTCTGTATTATACGGGTCGAAATTTTTATTAATTGGAGAGAAAAAAAATAGACGGTTTGACAAAGGATGATTCACAAACACAGCTTGGTAGATTTTTTTTCAAAGTTAAATGTTCTCAGTCAACAACTGGGAAAACTACAAAGATCTGACTAAACTTATGTTTCCAACAATGGCCACCTGAGTACTTAGAGGACTTAGTACAGTAGTCTCCCCTTATCTGTGGTTTTGCTTTCCTCAGTTTCAGTTACCTGTGGTCAACCACAGTCCGAAAATATTAAATGGAAAATTCTGGAAATAAATAATTCATAAGTTTTAAACTGTGGCCATTCTGAGTAGCATGATGAAATCTCACACCTTCCGCTCTGTCCTTCCCGGGACGTGAATCATCCCTTTGTCCAGCAGATCCACGCCATATACACTACCCGCCGGTCAGCCACTTAGCAGCCGACTGGGTTATCAGATCAACTGTCTTGGTATCGCAGTGTTTGTGTTCAAGTCACCCTTATTTTACTTAATAATGGCCCCAAAGCACAAGAGTAGTGATGCTGGCAATTTGGATATGCCAAAGAGGAACCAAAATTTGCTTCCTTTCAGTGAAAAGATGCAAGTTCTCCACTTGACAAGGAAAGAAAAAAATCATATGCTGAAGTTGCTAAGATCTACAGTAACTTTTATTACAGTATATTGTTCTAATTGTTCTACTTTATTATTAGTTATTCTTGTTAATCTCTTCCTGTGCCTACTTCATAGATTAAACTTCATCATAGGTCTCTATGTATAGGAAAAACATGGTATATATAAGGGTTCAGCACTATCCACAGTTTCAGGTCTTAGAATGTATCCCCCACAGCTAAGGGGGGACTGCTGTATTCTCCCGTTGCAGGACAACCAATACCTGGAAAGGACACACTATTTGAGAGGTTGTTGTCTTAAAAGAAGCACAAGAGGTCCCCCAAATCCACTCTTTGAAAAGGGAGGACCTGGTACAGAGTGCTAAGGAATTAGGGCCAGGCAGCCGTCAGAGCAGCAGACAGAGCAGAATCCGGCTGCCTCAGGGCAGAGGCTACAGCAGAACAGTGCGGTCTGGAAACTGAGCCTCGGGCCAAACTCCAGGTGTGGAGGGACACTGTAGCACACTGAGCCCAGACCCTCAAAGAAGCCTGAAGTTGTCCAGGTCAGGGACTACACCTGGCTACCAGCAGGAGCAAAAACAATCTGTCCCTGCAGGAAGCTTTCTCAAATTCCCAGTTTCAGCCCAAAAGACTAATTAAGATAAAGCAATATGCTCACAATCACAGGTCACCAAACACACAAGAAAGCAAACTACAATGACAGTCACAAACTACATATTTAGTCAACAAACTAGACGCTTAGATTCCCAAGACCTGCAGATATTGAAGTCATCAGATACAGAATATAGAATAGCCATGTGTGTAACATTTAAAGAAATAAAAGGTACAACAGTCACAAAGATCACCAATAAGAGAATTTTAGGAATGAATAGATATAAGTTCCCCCAAAAACTGGAAATTTTACAAATAAAATATAAAATTGTTAAAATCAACAAGTCCATCAACAGTTAAACATTAAATCAGACACAGCTAAAGAGAATTAGTAAACTGGAAGATATACATAAATGTTTTTACTGTGACTACATCACTGCAATTAAAATCAAGTTTGAGAATTGAACAGTGTTGATCAAAGAGACCATGAGTTGTCTTAGTTCATTTACAGATAATGAAAATTGTAGTATTAGTGGTGGGGAAAAAAAAAAAAGTAAGGGGGAAATTCATCTTTCTTCACAGGAAAAATCTTTTGGTAAGTAATTCCCTGAGACAGTCATTCAAAGACCTTTTCATCTGGGATAAGACAAGGGTGCCGTGTGCACAGGGAGCCCAGCTCAGGCGAGAGACTCCAGGCTCCAGATGGGGGTGGCCCTGGGGAGGAAGTCTGCAGTGGGCAGGGTAGGGGAGCAGGGAGGGCAGCTGCGCTCCCTGTGCATTCTTTGGCAGCTTTCGGATTATTTACTAGCTGTATGTATTATCTATTCATGGAAAGGAATTTTCAAGTTTTAGGAAGGTAACAAAAGACACAAGCTACATGGCCCCTCAACAGGAAGATATACTTAAGGAAAATTTTAAGAACAAAAGCCTAAAATTGTTTTACAACACAATTTTAGTGCCCTGGACATCTCTCTTCAGAAATTTCCCTGAATACAGCAGGTACAGCACCACAGAAAAGGGCTGTCATTTCCACATATTTATGTGAGGTGGGGATCGTGGAAAACTTGGGACACTGTGACAAAGACAACAAACACAGTACTGAACTTGATATGTCAGCTGACTTCATTTCAGACTAACTTTCAGAAATCAATAGACAACCCCATATTCTAGAGGAAAATGTGGCATCAGCATGACTTTGTTTGGTGCTTGCTCCTGGTCTCTCGGGCTGCGTTCTCAGGTGTCCCGGGTCCCTGTCCACTCCTCTGCTGCAGGGGTACTTTCTAGAGAAAGTTGGAGAAGCACAGACAAGGAGATTTTGACAGAGCAGACAGAATGTATATTTTTCTTTGACTTGTTAAGAGATACCATAGGCCAAAGCTTGTATTTATCTATAGTTTCTTACCCCAAAAAACAGGAAAGAAGAAACTGTATGATAAATAGAACATTCTTCCATTGGTTGAATTTAGTAGCCTATTATCAAAAAGAAAGAAAACTAATGGTTAGATTAATAATATTGCAGTTTAAATCTCTTGGTTTTAACAAATTGTACGTTTTAATACAGGAACCACTTCCCCCAACAGAAAATACAATTTAAAAAATCCTAGGTAATACCAGTTGTGTGACGTTGGGCAAATTACTTTTCCTCCCTGAACCTCAGGTTCATTTTACAAAACAGAGATTATATTTAAAAACGTCCTGAAAAGGTCGAAGTGAGGATTCAATGAAGTTGTCTAGAACCTTGCAGGTGACAAGTACCAAATGATAGCTATTGTTGCTGTGGCTATCGTTAAAAATTTTTACTAATTTGTAGTCACAAAATCAGGGTTGCGTTTACTTTTTAAAAGTAATCTTAGAAGAAAGTTTATTATAAAATTAATAGGGGCTGGCCCAGTGGCGTAGTGATTAAGTTCGCACGTCCTGCTTCAGTGGCGGCCCGGGGTTCACCAGTTCGGATCCTGGGTGCAGACCTACTGACGGCTCATCAAGCCATGCTGAGGCGGCGTCCCATATAGAAGAGCTACAACTCTACAACCACGATACATAACCATTTACTGGGGCTTTGGAGAGAAAGAAGAAAAAGAGGAAGATTGGCAACAGATGTTAGCGTAGGGCCACTCTTCCTCAAAAAGTAAATAAATAAATAAATAGTAAAATAAAAATAATGTTGGTAAGACTAAGAAAACTCTAAATTCATAAGCTGTTTTCAAGAATTTGCAAATGCTCAGGAAGTAACATGAAGAAATAAACTGTTTTTTGCTACTTACAAAGCAATCAAGTAATTGGGGTGGAAGAGCTGGGAGACAGAGAAGTTTAAGACTCAGTTTCTGCTCTCCAGGAACTTAGTCCCTAGCGAGAAAATAAAATGAACCCTCTTGAAATGACAGGTAACAATCAAAAGGAGTATTTTATTCATGATTTATGCCTTGCCTACATCCAAAGACGATTTTAAGGAGACTCAAGGCTATACAAAAGTATGTGCTGAATAACATGATTAAATATAAGTTCTATTCACTTTCTATTAAGCAATACTGTTAGCCAAGTTTTAGTAACTATAGATTTAAAACTATTGAAATCTTTTTAAGTTTATAATTCAAAATTTTTAAACCAATTAAAAGGGAATGCGCTTCTCTAATTAGGACAGCCTTGTCACACTCCACCGTCATTGTTTCATCAGTAATACTCTGTCTACCTCTCATCAAAAAGATACACACTAAACCGTGATATTGCTGAAACTCGCTGATGGGGACACAGGGTTTGTTATAGTCTTCTCTCTCCTTCTGTATTAGGTTTGAAAGTTTCCATTATAAAGCTTTTTTTTTTAATGCTTACTTATAAAAGAAAAATAAATAAATAAATATAAATCTGTCTTACTGGCAAGCCTCAAACCAATTAAAGGAGCAGAAAAATCCAAGACAGTTTATGCTGAGGCCAAGATTCAAACCAAGCAACGACTACGGAAAACACTCTGTGTCTGAAATTAAAATAAAATTGGGAACAAGAGAAAACCATATGCCCCAAACTTCAAACCAAGGGTAGAAAAACATTTATTTACTCAAAGAGCTGGAAGTATTTACGTAAACAGTAAATAAAAGCTATATATATATATCCTGATAACCACATAAACCACTGAGGGCTATTTAGTAATTTTCATAGAAGTATTTGGATTCTTTGCCAACTAAATTTTGACAGATTTCAGTTTTATTTTGTTTCTTTAATAATGATGAGGCTGTGCTGGTGGCATTTTTAAAAATAATGTGGCATGACATTTAGTTTAAAACACAGAAAATAATTAAAGATGAATAACAAGAAAGTACTTCTTCCTTGGGACTTCCTAGTGCTGTAAAAGTATGTTGGGGTGTGAATCTTTTTCATTTTGCATTTATGGATTTTTTTAATCAAAAAAAAGTCCCATTATCTGTCCCTATTCATCAACTGTGATACACTAAATATACGTTAAACCTATTGCAGTGATTCAAATGACAAAAGAAAGTTCACCCACTGAGTATTTCCCAGGAGCCTAATCTGTTAACAAGAGCTGCTGGCATCGCTGACTTTGTTAATCAGAATCCAGGTGCTGTTACCAGATCTACTGACTGTGTAAGTCCAAGGTTTAGGCGTGACCCCAGAGCCATGAGTCACACACAATCGTCTGACCCTCTCCAGTCAGCCAGGAAAAATGACTCATCAACGTACTCCTTCCATCAACAAGAGAATTAACATTTTACTGTAATTCATCAAACAGCTTTCGGTACAATCAAACCAAACCTGGCAAATAAAATGCAATTTTATATCGCAGACTAACACACCTAACTACATAAATTCGCTTCCTTATTGCATTTGGTTCACAATCTAAAATGGACTCAGCCATAGTTAAAAGTGACCAAATGAAGAAGTTCGTTCTGATTCAAGGAACACAGAGCAGATCAATGTTAGCTGTGAAAAATATCACCATTTTTTCTACAGTTTCTTTTCATTACTGATTGCAGTAAGTATCCCATATCTTTTGGCATTTCTTATCATACAATAGTTTTAAATTAAAATTTTTAACTTTATGACTTTTATATTTTGTCATTTTATAGATAGCATTCCTTACAGTTATAAATATATTCTATTTTTTCTAATTATAGTTTTTCCTACAGATTTTTAAATAAATCTATATATTTAGCTCTGATCCATCTAGAATTTCAGTGACAGTAATCACAGCTGGGGCTCTAAGGTACATATAGGAACTTCTGTTTGAAATCATAGGAGTCTGGTCAAAGGGAATAAGTTAGGGTAAAAATTGAGATATTCCAGCACCACCAGCCCAATTAGGAGCATAATATTCTCCTAGAACACCAGAATTTAATAAATCAAAGTATATGCCAGGCCTTTTGTACTTTCTAAGATATACGTACTAGGTAGCCATAACCTAGTATATGGCTTTTCATATGTGAAGGAAAGAAACAAACACTTTGCATATACAAATAACATGATTGAAGATTATAGCAGAGGATGTGTTTCCAGAGTCCAACTGGCCTGCCGTCCTGGGAGTCACTGAAACTCGGGGCCCCCCGTTCCTGCAGTAACACAGGGATCACAACAGTGCCTCCTCCTCGGAGGGTGCTATGGGAATGGGATGAGACAGGTCGAGTACAATGCTTCGAATGATGTCTGATAGAACAGTCCTCAATACATATGAGCTATTCCTATTTTTACTATCACATGAGACAGTATAATAATTCTGTGTTTTAACCATTACAGGCAGGCAGCAACTTCTGACAGCACCATGCTATAAGTTTATAAGTCAATGATTTGGATGTGGAAACACATATTCCTATGAAACAATGTTATAAATTATTAACATGATGCATCTGGTCTATTTTACTCATAAGTTACCTAAAATTCAGTTTCTGGTCATCATGCCATTCATAAAATTGTTCCTATGGAAAAATATGCTTTTAGTTCCAATCAGGTGTTCTAAGAGTTCTTAGGAGTTTCTAGATTTATATTTCTAGAAATAAATATATACCTGAAACAGCTATATAGCACCAGAATTTCAGAACTGATGAACTCCAGTGATTTCAAAAAAACCCCCACATTTCTATGACAATGAGACTAGCCACTAGGACCACCTCATTGAAGGTTCATAATTTCACTTTGTTCCTGGAATGTCGCTGACGCTGAAATGGTTTCAAATCAATTGATGGTAGCTGACAAATAAATATTGTGTTTTCAGATATGCTGTTCATTAGTACTAGAGAGCTGTGGGGTGCCTGCACTACCTTCCAATAGTGAATTAACAGTGGGGCCCAGGTTCACACACGAGAGCTCTTTATCAAAACTGGCATTTCCTGGAGGTTTTCCTTACAAACACGTGGATATGGCTGTTTACCTCCAGGGACGTTACCGCTAAGCCCTTCTGCTGCTCCACCTTTTGGAAAGGAATTGTACAAAAGAGAAAGTACAGTTTTGAGAAAGAACAATAAACCCTGACATCCACCCCAGGAGTCCACAGGAGCCCGCAGCCTTCTAAGGTCATCCAAACCCCGAAAGGCTACAAATGGGATGGACTCTCAACCAGCGTGCACCACACCACCATGCTGACCGTGAAACGCAGAAATACTGGCATGCGGCGGGTGAGGCTCTGCACAGGCCCTCTCTCAGCCCCACCCCCGGGTCAGCTGGGGGATGGTTCTATGGCGGGAGGCCACGCTGGACCAGGATTTTGCCCAGCTCACCCAGTTTCTCACATGAACTTAAATATCTCCCTCTCCAGGCAAAAATCTTCCAAGTAGTGTGGCTGGCAACTCTTCTGAAGAAGCAGGCTTGCAGGGGCCGGCACACCTCCAGGTGGGCCACTGTGGCCGTGATCGGAGAACACCGACTCCTCCCAGGAGGATGGCCTCTGCTCCCCTGGACCTCCTATCTCTCTACTTAGTTACCATTTTCTTTGTCTCTCATGAGTGTGCAGCAGGTAAGGTGAGCAGGGCAAATACCAAAATAATACTACCTTCTCAAAATTCAAATGTAGATCCTGGAATATTTAGAGGCAAAATGCCTTGATGTCTGGCGTTTGCTTTAAAATACTCCAGTGAGAAAAATAGTGAGAGTGGATGGGGAGAGAAGAACTAAGAATGGTGAAATGCCCAAAAGCGCTGAAGCTAGGTGATGGCTACACGAGCGTCATTAAATTATTCTCTCTACTTTGCGTATGTTTCAAAACGTCCATAAAAAAGGTAATAAATAAAAAAAAAAAAGGTAATAAATAAATCAATCCATTTTTAAAACTATCAAAATCCCCTTCTAAGTCAATTAGTTTTCCCAGGATCCCTACATCAGCAAAGGGGGATAGTAAGACTCAATTTTTAAATTTTTTAATGTTTTCTGTTGTTTCCAAGGAGCTCCAAGGGCAGAGCTCCTGCCTCCTTCCTGCGAGGACCACATGTCTGAGGACAAACGCACACGAGGACAGGGCCAAAGGTGCTGCCGTGATAGCAAGCATCTTGCTTCCACATACCCTCCTGTCTCTACGTTTATTTCCACAAGTACCAAAGGTTAAATATGAAAATCTTCAAAGACTGCTAGGCAGGAACGTACTGCCTGGATAGGCTCACCTACCGCAGGTCTCCCGTGGAGACGCTGAGGATAAGAGTTGGGACGATCATGAAGCAGGCATTGTAGAAAAGCACTCCATACTTCCCCAGCTCCTGTGAAAACAAAGAAAACTCTACTCACTTTTAGACGTATGAAGCATCAGATTCCCTAGAGCCATTTATACCACTAAGTATTTATGCAGAGTTAGAATACGCATTCTGATCAACTCCGTGTTGAAATATTTTCAGCAAATGTCTGACATAAGATGCTTCATTTCAAGTATACTGTGATTTCAGAATAAATTATTTTACACAAAAACAACAGATAAAAAGGATGGAGACGGATGGCCTCCGAGGCCCATATCTAACATTCTCAATGTTGTTTTTTTTAAAGCATGCTATTCAAAATGGGAAATCAGGAACAAAATAAAGAACATTAAAAATGTTAGTACAAACAGAAGTCCTTAAAAACATCTGCTCTCTGTGAAAGAACAGCAGGGTTAAAACACCAGCTATCTTGTTTCCCAATCTCTCATAAACGACTTTTCATTAAAGTGTGTTGATGTAAATGATCCATAATCAATCTATAAAACAAAATTGGGGTGAGTTTATTATGAGCCAACTTTTGAGGACCATGGCCCAAGGCCTTCCTTCCCTAAGGAAGGAAGGGCACTGAAGAAGTGGGGTGTGCAGAGCAGTTATATACCGTCAAAGAGTATGTATCACACAGCACTGCAATGTCCCTTTCACAATAGCCACAAGATCGCCCTGCCAGGTTGCCCTGCCAGAATAGCTATTGATGGACACAGCGGAGAGCAAGTCTGCTGTCTAGATGGGCTTGGCTGGTGTCAGGTCTGTTGTCTGGAGCTGGGTGGTCACAGGAGGAGTGCAGCAGTCAAATCCTAGCCTAGAGAAAAATGCTTATCCTTAAGGTAATGCCAATGTGGGGGAAGTTGCATCCTTATCTTAAGGGCATTTACTCTTCTCTTTGGGACATGGGAAAGCAGACACACAATGCAGGCGACAGGCCCTTTTGGAAAAACAAATTCAGGTCGAATTAGTTTCACCCCAAATGGCTTCCTCATGTGCTCCAATATATCCCATTGCTTGCCATTTATTTATCAAGTGGCTCCGCCACTTCCCATAAAAGGTGACATACGTGATTCTCAAAAGGCAACAAACCTGTTTTTCTTAAATTGCCGCCATGCAGAGAAAAACAGTGCCGATGAAAAACAAGTCAGAGAAGTAAGCCTGCCCGTCAAGGCGAACTCCCTCACTCAACACAAAGAACTTGGGACAAAGAGACATATGTCTGGCTCATCCTCCGGAGCTTACGGAACAGCTGGGGGCTGGGGGGAGGGGGGGCTGGGCCTCTACACACGGAGGCAGCCACACGGAGGAGGGGTTCCTGTGCCCACCAGCCCCTCACAATCCCAACCTTCCAGATGATACCTTCCAGTCACCTCATCCCACAGGTGAGAAAACTGAGGTCTGCAGAAGTTCAGGTTCAACGTCATAATGACAAGTAGCAAAACCTGTGTCTGTCACCCATGTCTCCAGATTCCCAAACCAGAGCTGTTCTTAGAATACCCCTGACTTCACCTTGGTCATTGATGATGATTGTAATAAACTTGTTTTAATTTTAATTTGCTTTTCAAAATAATCCCCTTCTTATATATTCTGATTTTGCATCTAAAATAGTGGCATCTTTTCCTTTCCTACCTAATTTTCACCCAAAATTTTCACGCAAGACGAGGAGTAACAAGAACCTATTCAGACAAGATAATCAAAAGAAATTAGTAACTTGTAAATTATATTGTATAAATTAAATTACATGCCAACTTTACAAATTCATCTTATTTTTCATCTAATTTCAGGGGCCAGAGGACAAAGCCTAAAAGCCACAGGACTGAAGATCTGGCACCTTTGGGTCCATTTTCTGTTTGGTGTAAACTCCGTTCGCTGCTGTGAAGATATCATTCAGGAAGACAAAAATATAGCCTTCCAAGTTAAAAGCAAGGTCAGACCTGGGAGGGAGAACACAAGAGGAAGAGGATTATTCAGAAACTCACAACTTGGCCTGTTTTTCTTTCCCTAATCAAATCCATTTGTGATGCCAGTAACTACCTTTTCTCTGGCATATTTCCTGCTCTGTGGTGGAGAATGGGTAATTCCTCTGCTTTGCCTCCAGACAAAAACAAAACCAAGTAGCTTCAACTTAATCCTGAATGGCTTAAAACCAAAGGGACATTAACCATCTTCATTTAACTGCAAAGCCTTTTCTTTTGCTAACTGATAAATCAGAATAATAATTGGGGAGCTGATTTCTAAGGGCAGGGATTTGTCTAACCCACTCAGTGGCTTTGCTTATTGTAGTCTACAGGGCCTCCCCAGGGTACAGCCCTGTGGGGACAGCTGGGCAGTGAGGGCACTAGGGGAAAATGAGGAACTGACACCTCCACCTGGTGCCCAAGAGTCACATCATCCGCCAGCACCCCCACTACCCTGTCCATCAAAAAGGCGAGGCAGGGATCCATTCCTTCTCTGCAATTCCTCTTAGGCTCCCTTCTTCCCATTCTTTTGAAAATTCTTCCTTTCACTTTGTATTTTACATACATAACACTAGTATAAAAATGTTTAGGGGGATAAGGCATAGGGAGAAGAGAGAACAACAGCTGGGCCATGACGGCATTCTTCCACCTGCACCTGACCTTGCAGACAGTATTAGACCCACGTCGTAATTCACAAATATATACTGTCAGGAATGTTTCCTCCACCCTCTTATGTTCAGTCAATGGGGGCCTGCAAATTTAACTGACAATAGACAGATTACCAAGAAAAAAGAAATACAAATCATATTACATATTTTATATGCACAGGACTTCATAGAAAAGAAGTGAAACTCAAAGAAGCGGTTAGACTCTGGGGCTTATATACCATTTTAACAAAGAAGAGATTTGGGTTTTGAGGAACAAATAAATTATGGGAAAGGACTAGGAAATATATGAGAGAAACTAATGAAAGATAAGGGTTACTTTAGTAAGTTTGTTTATGCAGAATCAGCTCGGTGCTGACTCTGTCTCCAGTGACAAAAACTGCTTTCCTATTCCAGTGCAGGAGAGGGGGACACCTTCACAAAGGAAAATTTATGGTCTGCCTCTAGGCAGGAAAGGGGAGGGCAGAAAACTCTTCCCATATCTGTTAAGTCACAATTGCCTTCAGCTCAAAATAATGCTTATGCCAACGTGGCATATTTTGACCCCTTCAATATCAAAATAAGATTATTTCTAACCAAAGAGAATGAAATAGGCAAAAACTGCATCAAAATTTCAATTAACTTCCTATCTAGCATTTTTAGATGATGACTTTTAAAAGCAGGTAAGGTGTAATTAATATACTTAATGGAAAAGCTGAACGCTGTCCCCTTAAGATCAGGAATAAGACCAGGATGTTTGCTCTCACTATTATATCCATGCAATATGGCACCTGATGTTCCAGACAGGACAATTAGGCAAAAAAAAATCCAGTTTGGAAAGGAAGAAATCTAATTGCAGATAATATATATAGAAAATCCTAAGGAATCCACTAAAAAATTACTAGAACTAATGAGTTAAGCAAGTGCATAGAAAACAAAATGAATATAAAAGTCAATTTTACACTAGCAATGAGTAATCCAAAAAGAAAATTAAAACAATTTCATTTACAATAGCACAAAAAAGAACAAAATTCTTAGGAATAAATTTCACAAAAGAAGTGTAAGACTTGTACACTAAAACTACAAAATACTGTTCAAAGAAATTAAAGAAGACCTAAATAAACAGAAAGGCACCCCACGTTCCTGGATCAGAAGGCTTAATGCTCCTCAAATAGATCTGTAGATTCAACACAATCCCTATCAAAACCTCAGCTGGCTTTTTTCCCCCAGAAATGGATTCTAAAATTAATATGGAAATGCAAAGAAACCAGAAAGCCAAAACAATCTTAAAAAAGAAGAATAAAGTTGGTAGACGCAATTTCAAAACTTACTACAAAGCTACAGTAATCAGTACTATCTAGCACTGTTTCAAGAATAGACATATAATCAGTGGAATAGGATTAAGAATCAAGAAATAAATCCTTAGAATTATGGTCAATTCATTTTCAACAAGGGTGCCTAGATAATACAATGGAGAAGAAACAGTCTTCTCAACAAATGATGCTGGGACAACTGAAAATCCACATGCAAAAGAATGAACTTGGACCCCTACATCCTACCATGAATAAAAAATTATCTGAAGATGTATCAAAGACCTAAAGGTAGGAGCTAAAACTATAAAACTCTAAGAAGAAAGCATAGGAGTAAATCTTCACGACTTGGGTCAGGCAAAGTCTTCTGAGATACAATATGAAAAGCACAAACAACAAAAGAAAAAACAGATAAACTAGACTTCATCAAAATGTAAAACTTTTATAAATAAACAAAACATCACATATACATACAATAGAATATTATTCAGCCTTAAAAAGGAATGAAATTTTGATACACGCTACAACATGGATGAACTTTGAAAATATTATGCTAATACAATAAGCGAGACATAAAAGGTCAAATATTGTATGATTTCACTTGTATGAAATATCTAGAATAGGCAAATTCGTACAGACGGAAATAAAATAGAGGTTACCAGGGGCTGAGGGCAAGGAGGAATGGGGAGTTTTTGTTTAATGGGTATAGAGTTTCTGTTGGGACGAGGAAAAGGTTCTGGAAATAGATAGCAGTGATGGTTGCTCAATATTGTGAATATACTTAATGTCACTGAGCTATACATTTAAAAAGAGTTAAAATGTTAAGTTTTATGTTATGTACATTTTACCTTAATTAATTAAATTTTTAAAAACTTAAAAGGTTTGTGCTTCAAAGTACGCCATTAAGACAATAAAAAGACAAACCACAGAATAGGAGACAGTTTTGCAATCTTATATACAATAAGGGACCTGTTTCTAGAATATATAAAGAAGACACAGGGGCCAGCCTGGTGGCGCAGCAGTTAAGTTCACACGTTCTGTTTCGGCAGCCCGGGGTTACTGGTTCGGATCCTGGGCACGGACCTACTCACCGCTCATCAAGCCATGCTGAGGCGATGTCCCATACAGAAGAGCTACAACTCTACAACTATGATACACAACTATGTACTGGGGCTTTAGGGAGAAAGAAAAAAAGAGGAAGATTGGCAACAGATGTTAGCTCAGGGCCAAACTTCCTCAAAAAGAAAAAGACATAACAATAATAAAAAGATAACCCTATTAAACAGTAGGCAAAAGAAGCTATATAAGTGGCCAATAAGCAGATGCTCAATATCATTAGTCATCAGGGAAATGCAAATCAAAACCACAATGAATTGACACCGCCTCACAACCACTAGAATAGCTATAATCAAAAAGACATAAAATTTGGCAAGAATGTAGAGAAATTATAACCCTTATACATTGCTGGTGGGAATATAAAATGTTGCAGCCACTTTGGAAAACAGTTTGGTGGTTCCTCAAATGTAAACACAGAATTGCCATAGGACCCAGCAATCCTACTCCCAGGTATAGACCCAATTAATGGCAACCCCATTCTTCCACTTCATCAGGCCAAAAACCACCAAGTCATCTTTGTCTCCATTCTTTCTCTCACACCCCACATGCTATTCATCAGGATATCGTATCAGCCCTTCCTTCAAAATAGATCCAGCACCCAGACTGTGGCCTCAATAAACACTGGAAATAACCAGGGGATCCTTGCAGAAACAGCAGGAAAGGTCCAAGATAAGTCTGGGACATCATGCTCCAGAAAGCAAGGAAGTAATCAAAGACTACTGGGGTCCCAGAATATAGGAGCCCACTCAAAGGGGCTCCCACTGGCCTGAGATGGTACAATTTGAGCATCAAAAGAATTATTTCTACAATGAATTGAAACAAAGTAAATGAAACAAAGAGATCAATGGAACAGACTAGAGAGCCCAGAAATAAACCCACACAAATATAGTCAACTGATCTTTGACAAAGGAGCAAACGCAATTCAATGAAGAAAGGATAGTCTTTTCAAGAAATGGTGCTCAAACAACTGGACATCCACATGCAAACAGCTGAATCCAGACACAGGCCTTACACCTTTCACGAAAATTAACTCAAAATGGATCATGTAAAACATCAAATATAAAACTTCTGGAAAATAACATAGGAGGAAATGTAGGTGACCTTGGACTTGGCAGTGAGTTTTTAGATACAACACCAAAAGCATGATCCATGAAAGAAAAAATTGATAGTGGAACTTCATTAAAATGTAAAACTTCTGCTCTGAAAGACAGTGTGAAGTGAATAAAAAGACAAGCAATAGACTGAGAGAAAATACTTGCAAAACACATACCTGATAAAGGATCTGTATCAATCAATGAAAATTCACGAGTTCGTAATGATAGTAAAAAACAAACAAAAAACAACTCTCATTGGTCACCACTGAAGGTGACAGGCCACTAATTTATTACTATGAACACTTATAAATAAAGGTTTTATACTGCCTTTCCAGTGTGAAATGGTGCAAGTTTGTATTTATTGAGGTTTAGACAATACACACAGAGGGGTGATATAGTTAGAAAATCACCATTTTGCAATTTGTAATGAAATAATGGATCTAGACAATGATCATCAATGGATGCTAAAACCATTAGGTGAAAGACTGATGGGAAACTTTTTAATGAAGGGACCAGACTGACTCCTTAAAACCATTACAAAGTGGAATTGATCAATTTAATATCATTAAAAATGTGATAAAACATTATGTACCATAGTTAAAATGTCCATACTTCCTAAAGCAATCTATAGATTCAATGCAATCCCTATCAAAGTTCCAGCAACATTTTTCACAGAAATAGAACAAAGAATCCTAAAATTTATATGGAACAACAAAAGACCCCGAATAGCCAAAGAAATCCTGAGAAAAAAGAACAAAGCTAGAGGTATCACACATCCTGATTTCAAAATATGCTATAAAGCTATAGTAACCAAAACAGCATGGTAGTAGAACAAAAACAGACACACAGATCAATGGAACAGAATCAAGAGCCCAGAAATAAACCCACACATGTACGGACAGCTAATTTTTGACAAGGGAGCCAAGAACATACAATGGAGAAAGGCAAGTCTCTTCAATAAATGGTGTTGGGAAAACTGGACAGCCACATGCAAAAGAATGAAAGTTCTGTGGCCATACACAAAAATTAACTCAAAATGATTAAAGACTTGAATGTAAGACCTGAAACCATGAAACTTCTAGAAGAAAACACTGGTAGTACACTCTTCGACATCGGTCTTAGCAGCATATTTTCAAGTACCATGTCTGACCAGGCAAGGGAAACAATAGAAAAAATAAACAAATGGGACTACATCAAACTAAAAAGCACAGCAAAGGAAACCATCAACAAAACGAAAAGACAACCTAACAACTGGGAGAAGATATTTGCAAACCATTTGTCTGATAAGGGATTAATATCCAAAATATATCAAGAACTCATACATCTCAACAACAAAATAACTAACAACCCAATTAAAAAATGGGCAAAAGATCTGAACAGACATTTCTCCAAAGAAGATATACAGATGGCCAAGAGGCACATGAAAAGATGTTCCACATCACTAAATATCAGGGAAATGCAAATCAAAACTACAATGAGATATCACCTCACGCCCGTCAGAATGGCTATAATTAACAAGACAGGAAACAACATGTGTTGGAGAGGATGTGGAGAGAAGGGAACTCTCATACACTGCTGGTGGGAGTGCAAACTGGTGCAGCCACTACGGAAAACAGTATGAAGATTCCTCAAAAAATTAAGAATGGAACTACCACACAATCCAGCTATTCCATTGCTGGGTATTTATCCAAAGAACATGAAAACACGAATGTGTAAAGATACATGTTCACTGTAGCATTATTCACAATAGCCAAGACTTGGAAGCAAACTAGGTGCCCATCAAGGGACAAATGGATAAAGAAGATGTGGTATACACTGCTTCCCCAGCCATGCTGGGGCCTCGTCCCACATACAGCAACTAGAAGGATGTGCAGCTATGACATACAACTATCCACTGGGGCTTTAGGGGGAAAATAAATAAATAAATAAAATCTTTAAAAAAAAAAAAAAAGAAGATGTGGTATATACACACAATGGAATACTACTCAGCCGTAAAAAACCATGAAATTTGGCCATTTGTGACACCATGACGGACCTTGAGGGTATTATGCAAAGTGAAATAAGTCAGAGGGAGAAGGTCTACCACCATAGGATCTCACTCATAAGTAGAAGATAAAAACAACAACAAATAAACACATAGAGACCGAGACTGGACTGGTGGTTACCAGAGGGGAGGAGAGGAGGGAGGAGAGTGAAAGGGATGATTAGGCACATGTGTGTGGTGACGGATTGTAATTAGTCTTTGGGTGGTGAATATGATGTAACCTATACAAAAATAGAAGTATAATGATGTACACCTGAAATTTATACAATGTTATAAACTAATGTTATCACAATAAAATGAAAAAAAAAACCATTATGTGAGGTGATGCAGTAGAAAGAACCCAACATGACCAATAAACTGATAATTGCCTGAAAAACTGACCCTGAATCTGATCAAGCCTCTAGAACCAACCACCCGTTTATCGAAACTACAGGAATAGAGGAACACATTACATGACATCACGTATAAGCAATCTTTCTTCCTTCTTCCTCCTAGTTGTCATTTGCTGTTCCCCCTCTTCTCCCAGGAAGCCCCCCTGGCACCTGAGAAGCCCTCATCTCACCCATTCTGCTCTGCATGCAGAGAAGTGTTTTAGAACATGTGTAATAAAGATGTTTCTGAGATCACTAAAACAAACAAAAAAACAAAAGAAGCCCCCATCTGCAAGACAGAGACTCCAGTGCACGAGGGGAGCAGCTGTCAGTGTTAACTGAAGCCACCGCCCCCAGAGCTGCAGGTGAACTCAGCCAGGCCAACAGCACACGTGGTGACAGCACTAGCATTTACCACAGGGAGCTTTAACACAAATCTGAGGAACACTGATTGTCCTAATCCCAGAAGGAAACAACAAGCCAACTAAAACTTATAACTAAAAACAGTATTTCACGTTTTGTTTTTCACAACCACAACCTGTCCTTCCAAACAACAGTGAAAGACGACAGGCCTAATTTCACATTTCTCCGTTTTACACGCTCTCTCCTTCTGGTCTACCTCCCACCTGCCTCTTTCCCACCCTCACTATACAAACAGGTTTTCCTCTATTTCTGTCACCCTGTGCACAAACTTCGTTTTCTCATTATTTATGTCTTTGGCACATGGTTGGTGATCCTAATGTGTGTTCATTAGGCTACATATTTCACACCACGTTTTCCGATTTATAGGATGGCTTGGTCTTTTTACACTTCTATGTTCATTTTTTACAGTGACTTTTAACAAAAGTAGTCAATCAAAGGACCCTAAAATAAATGCAGATGCAAATTTCAGAAGTATATGGCACACACTTGAAAATAAAGTCTGTCATTTATTTTTCCCCGTACCAAACCTGAGCTACACCAAATCTGACAGAACGTTCCACTTTTATAAAACGGTGATGATACCAAAAGTTACTCAGAACCATATTCATCTAAGTGCATCTTCCTGGATAAATCATACCTTCCCTATCCTAACTTCCACAGATCTCACATTCTATGTTCAGACTTGAACACAAGGAAAAAATATTGGCTTTTAACATTCCTAAAAGCATTATCAAATTCAAGTCAAAACTCTATCTTATTTTCTTAAATTACTAAATATGACTGTCTTCTATATGTAGCCCAAGCAATATCTTGAAAAATCAAACTTGGTCTTTTGTACCATTAGAAGCAAACAAGTGCAGAACCTCCCATCAACCATTATCCCACTCTCTACCTTAATTTACTTGTGCTTGATAATCCGCTTATGTGGTTTCCAATGTAGAGAAGAGGCAGAGGAAACAGCTTCAACAAAAAAAGAAAGAATATTTGGTTAGAACTCCAATAACCTCTTTTCTTTCACATACAAAAATGGTGACATTCACTCCCCATCAGTAAGCAAATCATTCTGATTTCCTTTCCCTGCAATGACTGTGAATTTTCCAGAATCCAAACCACATTCATGAGTTTCTCCATATGATCAAAATAATTAGGTGGGCAGTGATATCCATAATCATGTGGGGTGGGGGGATGGGAAGCTGGATAGAGATGAAAATTTTGACCTTGGCCACATTAGTAGACTATTTCCCCAAAGGAAGGCTCTGAGCAAGCACCTCTCTTGTCGGTGGGTTGGTGAGTTGAAGATGGGTATTTATAGTTTATTCAAGAGATTCCGAAGGCCTGTGCAAAGGTGTGCAAATTTCTGTTATCTACGCATATATGCATTTTTGTGGACAAAGGAAAAGGGTCATAGCTCTCATTGGAATGTCACACGGTTGGCGACCCTTTCAAAAAGTTGTGAATAGGGCCGGCCCCGTGGCTTAGCGGTTAAGTGCTCGCGCTCCACTACTCCACTCCCGGGTTCGGATCCCAGGCGCGCACCGACGCACTGCTTCTCCTGCCATGCTGAGGCTGCGTTCCACATACAGCAACTAGAAGGATGTGCAACTATGACATACAACTATCTACTGGGGCTTTGGGGAAAAAAAGGAGGAGGATTGGCAATAGATGTTAGCTCAGAGCCAGTCTTCCTCAGCAAAAAAGAGGAGGATTAGCATGGATGTTAGCTCAGGGCTGATTTTCCTCAAAAAAAAAAAAAAAAGTTGCGAATACCAGCCACATAACTTTGGAGTTACTTCATTTGCTTTAAAGGCCTAGAATGATTAAATAGCTACCAAAGTCAAACATGTACCCTGAGCTTGAATTAAGTTTACTGAACTCTGAGCTCCTGAATTATTTTCTGATTGTCAAGAGAAATACTGTTCAGAACACACAAACATAAGAACTAGTAAAACCTAGTCTTCTGGAAGTGGAAAAAATATACATCCTTTCATTAGTTTGTACAATAACTTTTAAGAACTTTTTAACTGATATAATAGTCCACAGCATCAAGATGAGTTCAACATTTCTTATTCCACTAAACAGACATTAAGCATGCAACTCAGACAAGACATCCTTTGAAAGGTTTTGAAATACTTTGTGCCATCTACAAAAAGAAAAGTTATAGAATTCTATTATCCAGGATATTTGCTCAAGAAAGAAGATATGAAGAGAGGCTAAAAGATCTAGGACCTTCCCCTTTATTTGTCAACATTCTGGCTAACAGCCTACAACTGACTCAACAATAACACAGCTGGTGATATTACAACTTCACAGATTCTCAGACATTGAAAAGAATCAGTTGCCCCTATTTCCATATATAATTCAAAATAAAAACAATATTGACTTCTAGTTTCTGGTTAACAGTAGGCTAGATTATTTGTGCTAATCCCCCTGCTGAAAACAATGAAAAATACTAGATAAAACAACTTAAAACCTTCACAAAAGCATGAAAGAACTGGGAAGATAGTGAGAAATACCTAGGCCAAAACTAACAGGAACAGAGAAACCCAGAGAGAAACAAGGGCGCCAGAGCACAGCAGAGTTGCATCTTCAAAGTTCTGATAAATTAGAACTCCACGCCTAACAAGAATATTTTTCAAAAACAAAGGAAAAATTTAGACTTTTTCAGACAAACAAAAATTAAGTGAATTTAAGCAGACCATCAGTAAATTCTAAAGGAGTTACTTCCATCAGGAGAAAAGTGAAAAGTGTGAAATGCAAAAAGGAAAGAAAGACAAAGGAAGCAGTAAATCTGTGGATAAATATAAACAAGCACTGAGGGTTGTTTTTAAAAAAGAAAATAAAAACGTATTGTGAGATTTAAATAGAGTATTAAAGTACTTGCCAACAAGAGCATATAAGCTGGGAGGAGAGGTACATGGAGGGAAAGCCCTTGCATTGTTGAGTGACAGTACAATCATTAGTCAACTTGAGAATCTGGTAAGTTAGCTGTGCCTGTTGTAATTCCCAGGGCAACACTAAAAGAAGAGAAATAGAAGAGGTCCTCCTCACATAATTAAACACTTTAATTCACCTGGAAGATTCAACTAGTTCTTTAGGCACCTAATGATACAGTCTCAAAATATATAAAATAAAAACAAGACAAAACAAAAACCTTACAGAAATATCAAGAGAAACACAAATCCACAATCAGAGATGATGGCTGTAACAATGTCTCCCACCCCACACGCTCGTAAAATGTGAGTGACATTCTCTTCCATCCAGAGGCAGGGTCTATGTCCCTTCCTCTTAAAACTGGATGGGGCTGTTTTGAGGAATAGAGTACAGTGGAAATGATGCTACGTGACCGCCGAGGCTAGGTCATAAAGAGCAATGCAGTTTTGGCTTTGCTGGCTGGGACACTCACCCTTGAAGACTTCAGCCACTATGTAACCATTCTGACTCCCTTGAGCCTGCCATTTTGTAAGGAAGCCCAAACTACCCTACATGGGTGACCACATGGAGAGGCCTGAGATTACAGTTAGAGAGATCAGTGACCAGCCTCCAGCTGCACTAAGCACTCCACCATTGTTTCAGCTCTGCCATTGTCCGTCTGCAACTGCACGGGAGCCCTAAGCCAGAACTGCCCGCTTGAGACCTTCCTGAATTCCTTCACCACAGTCACTGTGAGAAATAATACAATGATTATTGTTTTGAAACACTAAGTTATACAGCAAAAGCAAAAACTGGAACACAGATAAAACCTATCTACAAAAAACTTACAGCAAACAACATACTTAATGGTGAAAGGTTAAAAGCTTTCCTTTAAGATCAAAGATGCCCAGTAATACCATTTCTGTCAACATTGCACTAGAGGTCCTATGCTATACAGTAAGGCAAGTGAAAAAAAATAAAAGTTAGAATGTTGGAAAGAATAAAACAAAACTTTCATTTTTTTACAGATGATCTGATTGCAAATGTAGAAAAAATCCAAAAGAAACTACAAATAAATTACAAATATTCCATTATTTTGCAGATACAAAAATAATATACAAAAGAAATACAAAAATATGCACCTCTAATTTTCCAAATAATATATTTTTAAAAGATACATACAGTAGCAAAAAAAAAAAAAAAAAAAGGACCTCAGAATACATCTAACAAAAATAAACTCTACAGAGAAAATTATAAAACTTTACTGGGGGCAATTAAAGAAGGGGTATGTATACCATGTTATACATACGGATCGAAAGATTCAATACTTGAAAGATGTCAGTTCATCCCAAATTGCTTTATAACTTCAATGCAATCCCAATCAAAATCCCAAAAGGTTATTTTTTTCTGAACCTTGACAAGCTGCTTCTAATATTCACAAAGAAATGTGAAGAACCAAGAACGAGGAGGAAAGACTTGCTCCACCAGATAATGAAACTGTTCATAAAGCTATAGTAATTAAGACTGTGGTAATGGTGCAGAACACACAGACAGACAGTGAGAAAGCACGGAGAGCCCAGAGGCAGATGCACGCACCTATGGACGGCAACACCACGGTGTGAAGGGCACAGAACTCAGGACAGCCACTTCAGCTGAGTCCGCAACAAGTGAGTGCCCACTGGGGAAAACCATGAAATCGGACCACACACAGAAATCAACTCCAAGCAGATTAAAAACCTAACTCTGAAAACCTATATACCTTTTATATAGAAAAATATCTTCATGACCTTAGAGTAAGGAAGAATTTCCTAAATAAGAAAAATAGTGGGCTGGCCACGTGGCTTGGCAGTTGAGTGCACACGCTCCACTACTGGCGGCCCAGGTTCGGATCCCGGGCGCGCACCGACGCACCGCTTCTCCGGCCACACTGAGGCTGCGTCCCACATACAGCAACTAGAAGGATGTGCAACTATGACATACAACTATCTACTGGGGCTTTGGGGGAAAAGAAGGAGGAGGATTGGCAACAGATGTTAGCTCAGAACCGGTCTTCCTCAGCAAAAAAAAAAGAGGAAGATTAGCATGGATGTTAGCTTAGGGCTGATCTTCCTCACAAAAAAAAAAAAGAAAAATAGTGACTAATCATAAAGGAAAAGACTGATAAAATTTAACTAAAATTAAGATTCCTTTTCATGACAAGGAATACATGATAAAGAAAATAAAAAGATATGCCACAGAGAGAGAAAATGTATTTGTAATACTGTACATAAATAACAAGAGGACTATTACTAATATATTTTTTTAAATTCCTACACAAATTAGTAAGAAAAAGACATCAACCCAATAGAAAAATGGGCATAAGTGCTGAACAGGTACTTCACAAAAGAGGATATCCAAATGGGCACTAAAAAATGAAAAGGTGCTCAACCTCATTAGTGACCAGGGAAATGCAACTTCAAGCCAAGAAAATGTCACTACACCTCCCAGGTTACCGCAATATGAAATGACTGGCACACCGAGGATTGGCCAGAATGTGGAGCAACGTGGACTTGCACGCACTTCTATCAGGAGTGTGAACTGGTACAGCCACCGTGGAGAACACTTGGACACCATCTATGAAAGCTGAAGATATGCACACCCAGGAGCCCACAGTCCCACTTCTTGATATACTTCCCAGAGAAACTCATGCACACCTGTTTTGGACTGAATTGTGTCCCCTCAAAATTCATATTCATTCTTTCCCAACCCTCCAGTGCAATGTATTTGGAGACAGGACCTTTACATAGGTAATTAAGGTTAAATGAGGTCATAAGGACAGGGCCCTGACCCAAGAGGACTGCTGTCCTTATAGAAAAGGAAGAGACACCACCTTGCTCCCTTCTCCAGAGGAAAGGCCATGTGAGGACACAGAGAGAAGGTGGCCGTCTACAAGCCAAGGAGAGAACTCTCACCAGAAACCAACCCTGCTGGCACCTTCATCTTGGACTTCCTGCTCCCAGAGCTGTGAGAAAATAAATCTCCGTTGTTTAAGCCCCCAGTCAGTGGTCTTTTGTTATGGCAGCCCTACCTGACTAACACATGTGCACTGAGATCCAACTAGAAGTATGTTCAGAGCAGTACTTTTTATTTTTCTAGCGCCCAAACTAAAAACTACCCAAATTACCATAAACAGTAAAACAGGTAAGTAAATTGTAGTATATTCATACAATGAAAATAAAAGAATATAGCAACACACAATATGGATGAATCTTACCGTTATAATAATGAGTGAAAGCAGAAAGATACAAAAGAATATATAGAATTTGATTCTCTTTATATAAAGTCCAAAAATAGGCAAAACTAAACTATACAATTCATAGATGCATACAACTTTAGAAAAATTACAAAGCAAGAAAATTATTATTACAAAAGTCAGAATAGTCGGTAAGGAGGATTTTGTGATCCAATCTCATGACCTGGGTAGTGGTTACAAGGGTAATTATTCATTCAATAATATATATATGTATAATGCCTTTTTTCCCTATGTATAGATCATAGTCCACAAATTTAAGATATTTAAAATATTTTAAAGTTTTTAAAAATTATACTATGTCTAAATTAAGCATAAGCAAGCCCAATAATATTTCGATTTTCCCATGATGACTGGGTTAATATCTTTCATATACTTCAACATTTTGTTTTTCTCATTTTGCAGATGGCCCTGATTGTTGATGCCATAAGCATGTGCTTAGTCAACCTGATGAATAATCCAGCGCCAGATGCCAGCATTTTTCCAGGCCTTAGAGACATCTCAGTGAACAAGCCATGTGAGGTGCTCACCCTCAAGGAACTGACAGTCTGATTTAAACGTTCCTAAATCCCAACGTCATTATAACACATTTCACACTGCTGTCGAGTTGTACAGGACTGCTCTAAGAATTACACGCCTGGCCTAAAGCCTGGCACCCAGCAACTGTTCAATAAAAGTTAGTTCCATCCACATTCCCAGGAAGGAACGGGAGGTCTCACGTTTCTAGTTTCACCATGGGAAAAACATGTGTTTCCACGTACAGTCACGCGTCGCTTAATGATGGGGACACATTCTGAAAAATGTGTTGTTAGGCAATTTCATCTTTGTGTAAACATCATCGAGTGTGCTTATACAAACCTAGATGGTATAGTCTACTACACACTCAGGATATATGGTACTAATCTTATGGCACCACCATAATATCTGCGGTCCATTGACCAAAACCTAGTTATGCAGCACATGACTGTATATCAAATTGTATTCTTCATTCCACTTATGGCTTTTATCAATCCAAGCTATAAATGAAAACTTAAAACAGAGATCAGCAAACTAGGGCCATGTCCAAATCCAGCCCACCTCTTGTTTATGTAAATAAAGTTTTATGAGAACACAATTACACTGATTCATTTATATAACATCTATGGCTGCTTTCATGGTACAGTGGCAGAGCTGAATAGTTGTAACAGAGATGGTCTGGCCCACAAAGCCTAAATACTTACTATCTTTTCCTTTACCAAAAAAGCTTGCCAATCCCTGACACAGGGCTTTGTCATTTCAGAAGACACACAGCATTTATTTAATGTCAATTTCTAAGCACACACTTTTACTATGTTACATTAACGGATAACTGAATGCTATAAAATCTTTATTAAGAAGTTTCCACCCAGTGCAACCAGGAAGCACAGCATGTATAGAAATGGACCTGTACTCTAAGATAAATTTGTATATTTTCACATCTTCCATCATATCTATATGTACTTTTCATCACATACCTTGACAGGAATTTTCTTGTCAAAATCAGGGAAGTGAATTATTTTATTTAGCTTGGACACATACAGTATCATTATGGTAGCTGCCATCTAAAGAAAAGGGGAGACAGAAACTTCAGCAAAATATCTGGAAAACAGATTCATCAAAAAGAAATACATTCCAAAAAATCCATTTTCTAGGTTCCAAAAAAAACACAACTATTTCTTGGGATATTAAAATTACTTTTCTTGCCACCATATGGATTCCATCAGAACCACAGGCAAAAAGTGTAACATCAAATATACTCACACACATCTCAAGGGGCTCAAGAAACACTGACAGGAGGAGAAAAGGAATGGTGTCCCCACAAGTGACCAGAGTGACCACAGTCAGCGAGGCCACTCGATCCTGGACCATGCTGTACATGGACTAAGCACATGGTCACCTTCCCCCTTAAAGTGAGTGTGAGGGTGGGGAGAGGGGGCAAACTCCACACATAAACACACTTTTTGTAAAGTCCAATATTTCTGTAACATAGAAGACAAATTAAGAGAAAAACAAATTTTAAAAGGGATTTATTTTTCTCTTCATCTAGCTGGTACTGCAAAAATGTCTCATTCAAATCCTATTAATCTGGAGCACACCAGGTATATTAGAAATACTCCAGATTATTAAGATGAAATCAAAGATTTTAATATCCTCTTCCTATGCAAATTTTAGAACTTATTCAATTTTCTCCATATTAGGATACAAAACTTTAAGGACTCCTTCAACATGATTATAATTTTAAACCTTGATCCTAATGAGTTTACAAACTTAATACTTACAATAGATTTATATAACTCAACTCCATCCTCAATTATAACTGTCCTTTGTATTTATTACTTACTTTATAATTCTTACAGAAATATACTAATACTTACATAAAATATTCTGTAATTCAGACTTTTAAAATTAGGTCTACTGGCTTCTTCCCCCAACAAACTGCAAATGGGAAAGGCTTTACCTTTATTGAGTACAAACCAGTGGACTGAGCTGCCTTGGGTTACAGAGGGCACGTTATCACACAGTCCCTCATCTTTCAATGTGCTTTTCCCTACATATTTTCACACTGAAACATGCAGATAATATAATTTTTGACCTTAAGGAAACATATTGTTTCCTTGTTATTATTACTTTCTCCCTAAAATGATTTGCAAAACCCAACGTTGCTAATAATGATATTAGCAAAACATTTAACCAGAATAATGTTTAATCATATAAATGGCAGCCTTTTCCAGATACACAATTAAAAATTTAGTTAACAGATACAATTTTCATAATTTTAAGCTGTTCTCCCTATAAATTAAAGCAAAACAAAAAATCTTTGGTGCCTGTTACAGCTTGCCTACTGGAAATCACCAGCATACGACCAAAACAGTAAACAAACCACAAATTAATATTAATGGAAAACTTCAGGAACAGCCAAATGGGGTTAGTCTGAAAGCTTATCCAAGCTCATACTTAAGAACAAAAATCACAAATTGCAGGAAGCAAACTGCAAACATGTTTTGCTTGGCCCATAGAGAGTTTTATAAAAATCTGAATTTGTTGCCAGCATTTACAAATGAGAGATATGAGGTAAAAATTCACTCCCTCCTTCTCTTGAAAAAACTCCCGATTTCTGACAATAAGAGCAGAACGGGCCTTCTGTCATCTCCCTCACCCTTTTCCTCAGGGACAGCGGCGTAAAACTGAATATCAAGTGCAAGTTGGGGCAACTGTGCTCACCCCCCCACCCTGGCCCCCAGGCCATTCATCTGTTACCTACGAGGCCTTGGAGCTTTCACTCTTCTGGCTCCTTGCTTTAGGGTAATTAAATTCAATTAAGGAAGTTAAAATAAGTAGTTGCTTTTCCTACAAATACAACTGTTCCTAAATTGTAGAATGAAATAAAATGTGTGTCAATATTTCATGGTGTTTCACCAAGGGTACCATGATCTCTGGTCCTCTGCCAGCGGAATAAATTTGTAGGCCACAGACTTAAACACAAGCACTTAAAACTCCATCATGTAGGGGCCGGCCCGGTTGGCGTAGAGGTTAGGTTCGCGAGTCCTGCTTGGGCAGCCCGGGATTCGCCAGTTCAGATCCTGGGCGTGGACATGGCCACCGCTCATCAAGCCATGCTGAGGCGGCATCCCACACAACTAGAAGGATGTACCCCTATGACATACAACTGTCTACTGGGGCTTTGGGGAGAAAACAGGAAAAAAGGAAGAAGATTGGTGACAGATGTTAGCTCAGGGCCAATCTTCCTAAAAAATAAAAATTTCACCATGTATACTTATGACTAATTATGAGGTTAATTTATTTTTTTTACTTACCTGTCCAATTCCAAGAACAACTGGTGATGGGAAACTGCAAAGAACATAGAATAACAAACAATTGAGCAACTCATAAAAATTTGAAGTCTATAATACATAATGACAGGAGTTACTAAAAAGTCTTAGACTTCACTTTTCAGTTTTAGACAATGAAAACTTAACATCAAATTTGTTCACTTTTCATTTTATTTCTTTTTCATTTTTTAAACTGATTGTTGCTAAACTTGGCAATCTTCTATTGCCCCTTGAGGCATATTGTCATTATATTAAGAGACAACATGGTTGTGTATGCAGAAAGCCAAAATAATCTGCAGAGAAGTTATTAGAATTAATAAATAACTTTAGCAAGGCTACTGGATACAAGATGAATATATGAAAAAAATCATTTATATATCTATATACCAGAAGAAACAAAGAAAATGAACATTTTAAAGACATCATTTGCAATAGCACCAAAAAAACATCAAATAACACTAACTGGAGATTATATGGTATTAAGGAATTACTTTTACTTTGTTAAATATAAAATGATACTGGGGTGGTGTCTTTTTAAAACCAACGAGTCCTTCTTATCCTTTAGAAATACATATTGACATGCATATGATGATATATTTTTATTTGTTTCAAAATAATCTGGGGGAAATGGTGGGATTGAGTGGAGGAGGGATATAAACAGAACAAGATTATTGAGACTGGTGACAGCTACATGGTGATTCATTATACTATGTTTTTTAAATAATATACCCAGGAAAAAATCTAATAAAAGATTTCTAAGAAAGACCTCTAAATAGAAAACTATAAATCAACATTTAAAAAACTAAAGAAACTCTGGGGCCAGCCTGGTCGCATAGCAGTTAAGTGTGTGCCCTCCATTTCGGCAGCCCAGGTTCGCAGGTTCGGATCCCAGGCGCAGACCGATGCACCACTTGTCAAGCCATGCTGTGGCAGCATCCCATATAAAGTAGAGGAAGATGGGCACAGATGTTAGCCCAGGGCCAATCTTCCTCGGCAAAAAAGGGAGGATTGGCATCAGATGTTAGCTCAGGGCTGATCTTCCTCACCAAAAAAAAAAAAAAAAAAAAAATTAAAGAAACCCTAAATAAAGATCATAGATTGGAAACTCCATATTGTAATGAGGCGCATTATCCTCCAGCTGATGTGTAAAATCAATGCAATCTCTGAAAAAAATAGCAGCAGGTATTTTGTGGAAACTGACAAACTGATCCCAAAACTGAATGGAAAGGCAGAGAGCAAAAATTACTAAGATAATCTTGAAGAAGAACAAGGTTAGAGGAATGATTCTACTGGATGCCAGGATTCATTTTAAAGTTACAATAAATGATACAGTGTGATATGTGCACAACAGTCCAACAGGACAAGGGAAGAGAACAGAGATGGGGACAGATACACACACATACAAACTGCTGATTCATGATAAAGATGACGGTACAGAGCAGCTGGGAAAAGAAGGTCTTTCAACAAATGGCACTGAGTAATTTGGATACAGAATCCTGACCCCTACCTCACACCATACTTAACATTCTCTCAGGCTACTAAAAAAGGGGGAATATCACCAAAAAAAAAAAAATTCCTCAGTTCTCAACCTGTCTGTCAGAGGAAAATATACCTATTTCAGCTAGGGCTAAAGGAGAATAAAGAACCAACCTACCTTATCAGAGAAAACAGAATGAATGTCTGGACAGTATTACCATGAGAATAAAATTAACTCTGGTTAATTTTATTAACCAGATGGTGGATGCCGGGCTGTGCCACCCAGACACCCCCTTCTGGACTGAAGCACTCATTCCCCAGTTGCCCAAGAGTGTCCTCAGCTGAAGCTCATCCTCTCCTTAAGAGTAGCCTGCATTTCAATTGCTGGTCTAATGCAGGGGAATCAAGGCCAGGGTCCCTCCCCCTAATTCTGGACAACTCCGTAGAGCCCTCTCAGCTCCAGAGCCCCTGGGTCAGGCTTTGTTGTGACTGCAGTACAGCCCACCCTCTCCCTCTGCCTAACCCTGCATCCCTCACTCCCCCATAGGAGTGGATCCCAAGAGCATTCCTCAATATACTTCCTTCCTGGAGAAAACTACCTACTGCGTCATACACAACAATAAGACAACAACATAAACAAACAGTAAAACAACAACAAAAGGCTTACAAAGGTAGACAAAGAGCCCAGCCTAGAAGAAAATATAATATGTGAAGAGAAGGAACTCTTCATAATTGCTTCCAGCTACAGAACACCTTAATAAGAACAAGACATCAATAAAACAAGAGCTCAAAATTGAGACAATAAAACAGTCAAACAAGATGAAAAGGGAGCATACAGATCTAAGGAAACCAACTGAGGACCAAAACAACACAACTGCCACACGAACAATTTGGAAACAACATGGTACTAAACGGCCACTGCTGAAAACTGAATTACCAACACTGGAGGTAATCACAGTGAATGCAGAGGAAAAAAACAAACTCTCAAAGATAAATAGATATGGAAGCCAAACACCACCATATAGGGCTAAGTGCTGTGTCTGTGTGAAGAACTCAATAAAGAGAGAAGAAAATGATTCAAAAATAAAAGACAAATTCGTTTCCTCGACATGAGGAAAAAAAATAAACTGAATTTTCAGATCTAAAAGCACACCGTCTTAGAGAAAAATCTGTTAAAGAATGTTCAACATGATTAAAGCAGCAGCCATGAACTCTCCATAAAAAAACTACCTGACAATGGAATCAGACAATTAGAAGCCAAATCAAAATAATGAACTTGGGAATGGAGACACTGTGGCAAAACGGCTGTTGCTGACTGCTGCATCATTTAAATATAGCAGAGATTCAAACAACTGTGGGACTACAATTACCCAGCAGGACGCTACATTATCAAAGGAGATTCGGAGAGAGGGAGACGGGAAGGAGCGTGCAAGTGTTCTCATCTTGCACGGCAGAGAGGTCATCCATAACGTCAAAAATGGAAACGTGTGTTTACAAAATAAACATAATGACTTCAACTTCTTAATGTTTTTCATGACTTCTCAATCTTGGAGGGATCTTTTAAGAAATATTAACTCTTGTAGTAAAGAAACACATATTTGAAAGTCAACAATCCTTTTAGTTGAACTTTAATCTCTTTTCTCCGTTCAATTCAGTTAAAACTAAATTTCATACGTACATGCAACTTGCAATCCCCACCTTAAATAAGCCTTCAAACGCAGCCAGCATGACTAATGGTGGGACAACCCTGATATGATGCAATATGAAGTTCACAGGGTCAGCTATGAAGCAGTCTTGCCAAAAATGTTTAATCTGAATGTAATCAAGCCTTTAGATCTAACTTTCGGTTAAGAAATAAAGTAAAATAAGTTAAATGAGACTTCAAAAAATAAATCAGACAATCCACAATATGCGACATCTTACAAGACACCCAGCCCAGGCTTTTCAAAAAGTCAATATCACAGGGAAAGGGGGGGATGGGGGCCTTTTCTAGATTAAAATAAACTAAAAAGACATAACTCCATACATTGCATGAAGCTTGACTGGATCTTGATTCAAATGTTTAAAACAACCATAAAAACATCTTGGGGACAATTGAGATGATTATAGATTTTGTATTATATTATTTTAGGAAATTATTGTTAAGTTTGTTAAGAGCAAAAATGACACTCTGTAGGAGAATACCCATACTTCACGAGAGGCATATTGAAGTATTTCAGAGTGAAGTATCATGATGTTCGCAACTTACTGTCAACAGTTTAAGGAGAAAAATGCAAATAAAGCAAAATGTTAACTATTGCATCTCAGTGGTATGTACATGGGTGTTCACTGTACTCTGCTTTCCATTTTTCTGTATGCTTGAAATTTTCATAATAAAAAGTGGTGGGGAACCTAGGTGAGCCTCAAAAAAATTAATTAAATGAAAGCCCCCTTTCTCCAACTTCTTTTTGGATTAAAGAAAATGATTTACGGGACCGGCCCAGTGGCATAGTGGTTAAATTCAGCACGCTCAACTTTGGCGGCCCTGGTTTGCCAGTCGGATCCCAGGTGTGGACCTATACCACTCATCAAGCCATGCTGTGGCGGCAACCCACATACAAAATAGGGGAAGACTGGCACAGAAATTAGCTCAGGGCCAATCTTCCTCAAGCAAAAAAAAAAAAAAAGGAGGAAGACTGGCAACAGATGTTAGCTCGGGGCCAATCCTCCTCACCAAAAAAAAGAAGAAAAGTTATAAATAAATGAGTAAATAAGTAGCATCTATAATATGGGCCCATTTATATAAAAATAATTCAATCTGTGCATCTATGTTTCCAATTGATCTGTCTAAAATTATTGCCTAATGTGAATTACAGTAATTTTTAAAACTTTACTTTTGTTTGAATTCTTTATAATGATCACAATAGAATGAATTTTCTTTTAAAAAAATTAGATATTTCAAGATATTGATTCTAGGTAATGGGAATATGGATAATTATTATTGTCTTCTTTGTACATCTTTGTATTTAAATAATCCCAATTTCTTAACTGAATTCTTGTAAGAGTGAATGCAAGGAAGTGACGACAGTATGTGTACACAACTCTTTGAAGAGCCTGACTCTGAAAGGAACAGAGAAATCCACGTAGGATCAAGGGAAGGTTTACATTTGCTTGAGAAGCTAGCACGTTTTTTGTTTTGTTTTGTTTTGTTTTTGCTGAGGAAGATTTGCCCTGAGCTAACATCTGCTGCCAATCTTCCTCTTTTCGTATGTGAGCTGCCGTCACAGCACGGCTACTGACAGACGAGAGGTGTAGGTCTACACCCAGTAACCTGGGCCACAGAAGCAGAGCACACTGAACTTAACCACTAGGCCATGGGGGGCTGGCCCAAGAACATGTTTTTAAGCTGACAGAAGTTGCTGATGCCAATGGAAGGAGGCGGGTGGAGCGGACCCCAGAAGTGCACATCTGGGCCTTCCACAGGAACAAAGCGCTCCTCCATCGTAGCAGGAAGGACATGGAGGGGCTTCATTGGACAGTTTCTATTTTCTCACTGAAGCATCAGAGAAGGAGTGTGGAGGATGGGGCTATAGAAGGTTTCAGGATGAAGGAGAAAGCCTGAAAGAGCTATTTCTGAGACAAAGAGAGCTGGTTGAGGTTTGTGATCAACAATTCGAAGTCAACTGAGCCAGCCCAGAAGTAGCTTCTGATTCGCTGGACCACCGGCCAAGGCGGGAGCGGGAAAGGAGCACATGGCTCCAGAGTGGCTCTCCTCTCCGCGGCACCAGGATCCGCTGGACCAGGAGGGAAGGGACGCCTGGAGGGTGGTGTGGCAGAAAGAGCTAGGCGGAGACTTGGAGCGGAGCAGTCACACTGAGCACAGTCACACTGAGCACGCGGCCCTGGGAGTGACCATGGGAAGTTTAAGGAGACCGGCTGCGATGGTTCCACACGTGGATCCTGATGTCCGATGGCTGACACGAATCCGGGGGAGAGGAAGACCAGGACTCTTCACTGAAGGAGTCACAGGAGCTCAGGAGTCATTACAGAGGACGGAAAGGGAGTGGTCAAGTCAGAGTCTCCAGGGAGCTATGTCTCCAGGGAGCTATGAGGACCCAGCCCACCTCCTGGCCATGCCTGGAGAGAGACCAAGATCCAGCTCTGACCGAGGGGCCACAAGGAGCAGCGTCTTCAGGGGAGAGCAGGTTTTCACCAAAGTAAGAGAAAATTAGGAGTTGTTTTTGTTTTTTAAGAAGGACTTCCAGTTCCCACCAGTGGAGACTCTGATTCAATAGCTTTTATAAAAACCTCTCCAAGTAGTTCACATTACCAGGCAAGTTTGGAAACCACTGTGTTAAATGAGCCCAAAGCCCTGGGATGCATCAAGAAGTAGACGCACGGCAAATACAGGGCACATACTTGTTGAACTGAGTACAACCAGGCTCTACATTTTTATTAAGTACCATTAGTAAATTTTTGCGTGTCATAGAGAATAGTATTAAAATGGCAACCAAAAAACAACTCCAGACCACCTGCACAACCCTCATGAATCTGATTTCGAAGAACCACTAGTATAACCAACTGGCCACAGATTCTTAGATGACCTTGCTTTTCTCCCCCAAGAGGGTCACATCATTCAAAGACCTCTGTTGAACCATGTAACTCTAAGATTACAATAAACTAAAACTAACAAATAACTAAGACCACCCATCAATCTTATACCCCAGCCAGAAACAATCTGCTTAAAATGGAAGAGAAAAAACATCCTCTGAGCTACAGTCCCCTGACCCTGTGAATTAGGTAATTACCAAAAGGCCTTCCTTCCATCCTACAACACAACAGCCTATCCTCAAACAGCTAATGTTTGGATCACATTTCTAAGGTTTATTGTTGTAACCAAATCACCCCAACCCTTCTCCCCTCAAAAAGGTGCTCCTAAAGCATTTTGAGATGAGAGAATAAACAATGGTATTTGAACACGGTTCTGCAACTGTGTAATATATTACATTACGGAAATGTGAAACGGCTACATATAAGGGTTATAAGGGTTTTGCCTCGCTGAGACAAAAACTCGATTTCCTCCTTCAATCAGAGAACTCAAAATTTTAAAGATGGAAAGGCTAGAGCATGAGATATCTCATAGAACAATTCTTCCTGGTTGGACACTGCCCTTCATCGTCCAAGCCCTTCACCAGTGTTTACTGGTCCTGCTTCCAGCAAGAAGACGCATGTTCCTGGAGGCCCTGACTGTGCCCAGAGAGCACACTGCTCACTCAAGTGCAGAAAGTAGAGACTCTTCTTCAGACTTCATCTGACAAAACTGCCGACCACTCCCAAAAAAGCCTATTGATAGCATTCTCTTGTTTTTTATCGTAGGTGTTTAAGTTTTCTTTCATTAGCTTGCCTTGTATGTGTTAAACGGTCCAGGTTTAAGTATGTGTTCATTCTAATTTCTTTGACGCAGGGTTTGCTTCCCACGGACACAGTAAGCACGCGGCAACACTGGTAGAGACCTTATAAAGAACACCAATAGCCATAGGATCCCCCCAAAATCTCCAATCCATCCCTTCTCTCCATATCCGCTGCGACCCCCACCCCAGTCCAAGCCATCTCTTAGAATTCTAATTATTCATTAGAATGCTGCAATCCTTCCTAGCTCCTCTCTCTGCTTCCAATACCATAGTTCTCCAACCAGCCCAAGAAATCTTTTTAATTACACAAATTGTCACGTCACTTCCCATGCTAAAACCTTCCAAGGGACTTCCAATTGCATTTAGACTGAAATTAAAACTATTTATCATGGTCTCCCTGCTTCCACCCTGGTCCCCTAATACCTGCTCTCAACCCAGCAGCCAGAGTGATTTAGATCATGTTATTCCTCTGCTCAGCACCTTCCAGTGACTCTCAATCTCCCTCAGAGCTTCAACCGTGGCCGCAAAGGCCCTACACAATCTAGGAATCCATCACCCTGGGACCCCATCTACTACCTTTCCCACCCAAACTCCTTACTCTTCCATGCCTGGAATGTTCTTCCTCCACCTCCTTCACCTCACTCATGTCTTGGCTCAAATGTCACCTCAGCAAAGCTTCACTGATCATGGTGAGATGCAAATTCTTTCCCACGCCCACACTCCCCAACTCCCTTTCCTGCTTTGTTTTTTTCCTCCTGACCACACAGCCACATCTGACATGATATAAATCCTACTAGTTGATTTATTGATCCACTAGAAAGCTCCCTGTAAGCTCCAGGAGGATGTATGTACACTCCATGACATTTGGGATTTTAATCCGCTTTATTCAAGTCTGTATCCCAACTGCCTAGAACAGTGCCTGGCACATCACAGGTGCTTCATAAAAATCACCAAATGAATGAGAATCAGACCCTGCCTTCCCTGTCCACCTTCCCATCATGTCTCCCACCTTCTCCCACTTGCTCATTCAGTTTCAGCCCAGTGGCCTCCTCTCTGTTCCTCCAGCAGGACAAGCGCATGCCCACTTCGGCACATTCCCTTCTGGGAGGAATGCTGGAACGCCAACACTCCACCCCAGGCACTCTCGTATCATACCTGAAATCACCTTGCTTATTCAAGACGCCACTCGTTTATTTTCTGTCTCTACCACTAACGTGGAGTCTCCAGGGCAGGGGTTCTGTATTGTTCACAGCTGCCTCCCTGGTGCTTGCCACGGGCTTGGCTCATAGCAGTTGCTGAGTAAACGTCCTCTGCAGGTGCACCGTGCCGGGCTCACGAGGCTCAGCTTTCTCAAGTGCAAAATAAGAAGGCCGAAGACACTCTCTGAGGTTTTTTTCAGGCTCTTTATAAAATTCTGATTTTACAGTCTTGTAGCACAGCATAGTTTACAAAGAGCCCTCGCTCTTTGCATGACAGCTCATGCAAAGCTCTGGGAGGTAATTAACATGGTTGCAATTTTCCAGCTTCTGCATCTGAGAAAACTGCTGACTTTGAGACTGGCCCAAGAGGCCGAGCTATTAAATGGCGGGGCTGGGTCTAAATCCACAGTGCTTTCAACGCTGCTACAACCAAAGCAGAATTCAACAGGATTCTCTAGTCCTTAAAATAGGTTCAAGGAATCACAAATTTGCTGGTTTACTGTACACTAATCCAAAACAGTACTTCTAATAGTTTTCAAGTGAACTTCTGTTTTCCATGAAGGTGCTGGTACTTGAGAATGACCAAACAACACGAATAAGCCTCTCCGCTTCAGGCCTCATCCGACTGTTGAACAGCTAGGTGTGCACGAAGCCCCGCCCACCTTTCCGGTCACACTCGATCGCTGCGTCAGCGAGCCCGGGGCGCAGCTCTCCCGGCGGGGCGCGGCGCCCTGCAGGAGCGGGCGGTGAGGGCGCCGCCTCTCCGAGGGCAGAGCGACTCTGTAGGTCGCGAAGACGGTCCGGGCCTGTGGCAACGCGCTCACTGTGCGGAGCACACAGCCCCCCGCGTTGGCTCGGAGTCCGCAGACTCCCGGCTCTGTCCCCGCCCGCCCGCTGACCCGGCGCGGCCGAAGTGCACGGAGGGCAGGGCAGCCCCGCGCTCCGCGCCACCTCCCCGCCAGGGACCTCGGGGTCCGGCCAGCCTGGCCCGGCGCGGCGCCGGAAAGTCCCGGACAGTCGCTTCCGCGCAGCCGGGCGCCCCCGTGGGCCCTGCCCGGACCCTGCGCCCGCCTCACCGGTAGGTGGTCAGCAGCGCCTCGTTGACCAGCACGATGAGGAAGGAGCAGGTCCCGTAGAAGAGCGCCGACAGCAGCTGCACCACCCGCAGGGGCAGCTCTGCGGGCGCGCCGTCCCCGCCCGCGCCCTCGGCCTGGCAGCCGGCGCTCACGTTCCGCGGCCGCCCC